ATCGAGTTCGGCATGCAGAGCACCGTAGTTTAGACACCGCACCGTGGGTCGAATTCATTCATTCCGCGGTTTCGAGTCGCGTGTCCGGGACCGTGTTTGTAGTCGCTCTTTCCTTGGCTACTGAAATAGAGGATACACGAACAACATCCGTTCCCCGGTAATATTTTAATCGATACATCGGGTCTAATTCGTGTAAATAATTATTTTAAAAAAATTGTAGGTAATTTATTTCGAGAGAATTTCAAAACTCGTGCCAAGAAATATTTTGAGTGTTACCTACACGGAGAAAAAAAATTCGTGCAAGGGACCCCGAAGTTTAGGTCATGTGGATCTTTGAAGTTTTCGGATTGAGCATCCGAACACTTAAGGTCCAGCTGCTGAGGTTTGGATCACACATCTGAAACTTCAGTTCTTACGTCTGAAGTACTTCGGTTTTCACATTCGAAGAACTTCGGTTCTCACATCTGAAGTACTTCAGATGTAAGAACTGAAGTTTCAGATGTGTGATCCGAACCTGTTCAGATGCTCAATATGACCTAAACTTCGGGTCCCACGCACGAGGTTTTTTTCTCCGTGTAAATAAATTGTCGATTTTTTAGGAGTATTTCCTGACAATGTTTTACTTAAATAGCTTCTGAAAAAATACCGAACAAGGGCTTTTTTTGACGTAGATTGAGTACAATGATTTTCTAAAGAGTTGGACAACCGTTTAAAACAGACAGAAATGATGTAGTATAGACCTTTAAGATTAAAATTATTCACTATTTTTTGACAAGCGAACATTTGGCAGAATTTTAAACAGCATCAGGTTCTTTTTCTTATGTTTTTTCCCAAAATTATTGCTCATCTTTTTACTAGATGAGGTATCTTACTGTACCCCCTGTGACGCGAGAGATGGATAATGATAGCTGTATAATGTTAACTGTGAGAACATTTTTCTCCGTAAATATTCATGGAAAAAGTGGAGGTGTGGGCGATGGGAAGAGAGGAAGAGGAAGATAACGTCTTTGCACAATACACAATAAACACACAACAAACTTTTCAACCAGAGCACTGTCTAATCGCACGCATTATCATTTTTCTTTTATTATCAGTAGTAAAATAGTTATGTCATTCAAAAACTTTTCATTGACTTTCGCTCTCTATACTCGTCGCTTCTCACCAATAATTTTATAGCTTCTGCTGAAGAAACTGCGATTTTTGGAGACTTTTTCCCAGAAGAAACGTTACACAAGTGCTGATTCACTGTCCAGAAAACCTAAACAGATGGGGAAAAGTTACTTTCGGGGATTCAACGATCTTTTATGAGCAGTGACTCTCACTTTTCCGCCAGTAACATCTAATGAATATCTCGTTGAGTATGCCGTTCACAGAGAGTTGGTCAGCATGAGTCCAGCTAGCTAAACAGGTTGTTCAACTCGTCATTTGTCAGTCATCATTAAGCGAAAATAGCGGTGATGTCAGAGATGTAGCTTTTACTCTGCATGAGGCTAGTGCGAGGTCTGGTAAAATGGGCCCTGAAGGTGAGAACAGTAGGAGATACTTTTACTAAAGCTCAGAGGGGTTAATTCCGGCTTATTTGGCTCAAAGATAGCATTAAGTTTTCCGGTGCTGTTTGCAGCTTTTTGGAGACGTTTCATTTCAAAAGCTCATAACATTAGGTGCTTATAATGCAAATAAGCCCTGGTAAAAATTGGCGATAGGAGCTGCGTTTCAAAATACCGTAGGAGTTCTTACAGCCGACTGAAGAAGGCGATAGAAAATCATATATCTGGCCGTGGAAAGTGGAAAAAATCTTACGGCCGGGCTACACGAAGCGATGAAAAATTATACAGCCGGGCTATAGTTCCTATCGCCGGGCTTTACACTTTATCACCTGACAGTTGCTTTTTCGCCATCGGCTATCAAAGGCTATAAGAATAATTGTGTAGAAATTCGTGTGCTTTGTAAATCCTTAAGTTTGTACGGAATCGCCTTAATATTTACAAAACGCACATTATATTTTCCTTTACTACATATTTTTTTTCATCAATTAAAATGAGATTAATCCATACAGAGTGTCCAAACATTTCAAAGTCATGAGTTGAAAAACGCTGACTTCACGAGATTAAATATTAGAGCCTAACACAAAGCGGAGCGGCGGTGCACTAGCGCCTACAAACCTAACAGGGATACTTCACGCATTGCGCAATGCGTGAAGTATCCCCGTTAGGTTTGTAGGCGCCAATGCGCGTTTCGCGCTAGCTGCCTGCCCGCCGCGCAGCGCCGCAGCGTACTACGGCGCTTGAAGCAACTATTTCACACCAGAGGTATTGCACAGTATCATACGAAATTGAAGGCGCTCCAACATATTAGGAATGGCAGGCATCCTTCAAAAGTACGGAGCTTTCCTCTCATAATAAATCAAGATACTATGGCCCAAAAAGAGAGCGGTAGTCCGAAAACTCACCAGGTCCTAGCATCCGTAATTATAACGTTTAGCATACACTTTATCGCCGGGCTGTTGCTTAATCGCCATCGGCTATAAGAGGATATAAGAAATTGTGTTGCCGCCTATAGAAGCTATTGGAAATCTTACAACCGGCTGTAGGTCTACGGTATTTTGGAACACAGATTCTACCGCCAATTTTTACCAGGGAGATTTGCAATGTTGACCGCATTATTCTCAGCGTATTTGAAATGTCCAGCATCGGGAACTGAAAATCGATATTTTTCCATCTCAAAACTATTATTCAGAAAAATATAAGGTTCTATCTTAATACACATTTTAGATTAATTCTTTACAAATGTCGACCCGATTTTTTGAAGAATGGACTACAAAATAACATTTTTATATATTAATTATTTGCTCGTCTGGTAAACTACTTGTCCGACCAATCTCATTTTTTCTCGTGTCTACGGATTCTTTGTGGATTTCGAGTAAAGCGTATTCTTATTCAGAGACATTGGATATATTTCCCTAAAATCGGTGATTTCTCATAATTTTTGACCATATGGATCCGTATATTTCACCCAGTGTGTGGCGGCCGCCGGTCGTCGGCCGGCGGTGGGCGCGTGCATTTCAATTCGAGCAAAGTTGCCATTTTCGAAAAATGAACGGATATTTCATGAGCAACCATACAAAATAATTTAGATCGTTATCGCCGAAGTGGCGACACTTCTTCGCGGCAAGACCAAGTTCAGTAAGCGATACAGACGTCGTTATCGACCACTTCTCAAGTTCACCGTTGCTGCTTCACGCCGAGAGAAAAATCCTCCGATTCTCGGTATAATGGATGGAGTTCCTGCGGGATATTCGCGATTCAAGTGACTACATATTCTATTCAAAAATTTCGCAGGAACACAAGGGCACCTTTAGTGCCATTTACAGGGTTGCCATATTTTTTCTTCTGTAAATTCCCTGACTTTTCCTGAATATCCCCTGACTGTTGTTTGCTTTTCCCCGACTCCAAAATATTCGGATTCCCTGACTTTCCCTGACGTTCGAATAAAAATTTTACCTTGATTTTTCCCCCCTTTAAATCACACTTACTTCTGCTGAATGCGCCTCGCAGAATTCTCTGAATTTTCCTGTGACTTTCCTGACTTTTCCTGGTCGCCGCAAGTTCCCTAACTTTCGCTGACCTTCTCGGTTTTCTAGACCCCCGGCAACCCTGCATTTAAAATCAACTGTCAAGTTCACAAATTTGTGGCGGTAAAGATCGCAAAATCCGGGACACTTGGTGAGACTTGCCCCCGGACTTTTCACGGTTGCTGATGTGATTCGTATGCTCTTTTAAGCGCTAAGTTCGGGAAAAATTCTCCGGAAAATCGAGTTTTCTCCATCCTATTGGGCTTTTCCGGAAATAAATCGATTTTCTAGCAAAAATGATACACCGCTGGTAGAATTTTGATAGGACCTGATTATACAATTTGATGAACCGAAGGTAAAGTTTAATAAACCGAGCATTCAGTTCAACGAACCGAGCATTCAGTTCAACGAACCGGAAAACTTTGGGACATGCTCCATATCCGCGGAATTTGGTACTGTCAACCAAAAAGGTCAGTTTGCACGACCGAGAGTCGCAGTTCTCTGGACCAACCAGCGTCAGTCGAATCGATATCTTAACCTAGCTATCAATCGATCTCTGTTGTAGTCTCGTGGAAAAGATAGGTACTGACAGGTTTAAATTGACACGTGGAGCTCAAAAGCACTCAACCAAAATTCAATTTTACAATTTACACCCTTATTTGCCATTAGAAGGAAATACATTACTCGCACTTCAGGTATTCTAAAAAATGTGTTGTCGGACACACAAATTCCAATTTGATTACCAAATCTGAAAAATATATAGCTTTTATGACAATTTTCAGGAGATACCTTTTCCTCTGACGGATTAGCAGGTTAAAATGTATTAAAGAACAAAATCCTCAGCTTCAGAACAAGAGGGACAAATTTACATGCTGCTCCAGAAAAAGAAGGTGTGAGGGTTAGATATATTACATGATCCCCACCTTCCATCATTAAAGGATGTTGGTATTTTATTGACGTGGTTCTGATGTTATTATTACAATTTTTTTAGGTTTTATTCTCCAAAAAATGTATGAATAAATAAAAAGTAAAATAAAAAATTATGTTCATCCTTGATTTTCAGGAACTATTCACCTTATAACCTCTTGTAGAATACGACTCTTTCATAAAGATTCAGCTAATTCCTTCCCTTCTTAACCCTCTATGCCTTGCATTAAGTTTCGATGTTGGATTCCAGGGCGCAAATGTATGGTGCCGCTTTCGTAAAAGCAACAAATCCCAAATTTCATCCTCAAAATTTCAAATTTTCGGCAATCATTTTTTTTTTAAAAAAAAATTATGCCGCAAAAGAAAAGATTCAATTTTTAAAAAACCAAAAAGTGCGTTGTTACGAATAAGTAACACTATGCCATAGAGGGCGTAGGAGAAAATTCTCAAATCAACATCCATTCGAAAGAAGGACCGAATGGAAATTTTGAAGCATCCTTACCTGGGATAGGCAGGAAAACGAAAAGGCAGAAAAACGCTGGTAAAACTAAATCACTAATGTAACACTTCATGGTGAATACTCTCATATTTTGATTCGGAATCGATAATAAATACAGGGAAAGGTAAAGCAACAACAAAAAATCAACAAATATTCAACGCGCACTCGGGGCTCCGACGATCAAATCATATTTTGGCCGGATTTCTAGCGGCGGGCAAGTTCGAGTTTTTCTCCGGGAAATTTCCGCGAATGCAATCAAAACGTCAACGGACCTCGTTGCGGAATCATGAAAACATGGTCTCGCGAAGCTGCGGGCTCGCGCGACGGACGCGGAAAGCGAGGCGTGAAGCGGGAAACAGGAGCGCGGGAAGAGATTGTGGTACTCCGCAGGATGCCACACACCAACTGCAGCAACAGACAACAGCCTCAGCCGGCCAACCTACTGACTCCAATTTTGAAATCGAATCTTTCGACTCCACCAGGCTCCTGCCCGCTGCCGCCGAGCGCGTAGAAAAATTCTTCCGCTCCCTTCGAAAAAATCGGAGATTTGGCCGAGATCCGGCAAGCCTCCGCTCGTCCCTGCCCTTGCTCTTTGTATCTTCAGAGTACTTGTCTGGAGGTGCAGTCCCCCCCCGTCCCCCATATTGTTTGAAGATGCGCCACGATCGTCCTGGTGAATACGAGCGATGCCTTTAAGCCCCCACCAAAATAGACGGCCACCTCTCCTGCCGTGCTAAGGTAAAACGCCGTATGAACCCTCAGGCGTTGCCAAATTTTTTCAGATAAAATATGAATTTTTGAGAGAATATGTGAATATTTTTCCTCCAAATTTTCGGACAATTTTGCACGCAATTTTATCTAAATTATCTGAAAATTCCAAGGTAAAATATCCCTAGCATTCCTCAAAAATACGTACAGGGTTATTCAAAATTCTCGCACCACTGCACTGGCCATAACTTTAGTTTTAATTATGATATGGACTTGCGGTGTAAGACGTTTTTCCTCATATCGAGAGAGAAATTTTTTTAGGTACTTTCCAATTTTTGATCTCCTTCGGGGAAAGGGAAGCGGGGGGCAACTCAAAAATAGCATGCTGTAGTTTAACCTGGGAATTCTCACTTATTTTGTACTAAAAATGTACAAGATTTTGAAGCGTGAAAAGTTATTATTCGCGGAGACTTTAACGCGCATGATGTCAGGGTGCGAGTTTTTTTTACAGGGGACTCTAAAATAACGTATACTCTACCGAAGTGCTTAAGCAGCCATGCAATTTTTCAAAACCCTCCTCGCGGCAAAAAATGAAATGAAAAAGTATTACTCGAGGAGACTTTAACGCATGTGATGTCAGAGTGCGAATTTCTTATACGGTGCTTTGAAAACAACGTATAGTTTGCACGACAGCAGTTAACGTAGCAGATTTGCATCACCTAACCCTCTTTGTGTTGATAAATCTAATCCACACCACGACGTCAAATTATTGGGGGTTGATTAAACAGGGGAAGGGAAAGGGGTTAATAAAAAAAAAATCAGAAATATAAACAAATGAAAGAAAAATTTGGGGATGTGTCACTGACGATTGAAGCCGATTGATGGCCCAAAATTATCGACGTTCTGTCGTTGCCTGTTTCGTGTGGTTTGCAGGATGTGAGACATTGCTACATTTGAGTCGGTCGTGCTACACACCTCGAAGAAACCGCAAGCACCACGAAACACTGTTGCAATATAAGTCTCACCAAAATGTCACTGCTTGATAAAGGTTAAATTCGAGAGCAGCTCCCAAGGTGTATTATCATGATCCGACTGTCGTAGCCCCGTTTTTGAGATCTGACATTTACTTTTTCAGTGATTTAATAAGATGACATGTACTTCAAGCTCTATGCGTTTTAGTCAAAAGCGTCGGGGTTATCACACAACTTAGATTTGCGCAGCACACACCCACTTGATGGTAACCTCGTAGCATCAAAATTGGATGTGTGAAGTGTGACGCATCGTACCCTCTGATGTGTATTTAACCCTAAGTTTTCTCTTTTTTAGTCCTAACTGTGTCAACACACTTAGACGACCAGAGAGAAAGAGAGAAAGAGAGAGAGAGAGCTTAATATATCAGAATGTGGGGGCGTAATCTCAAACATTATTTTCTAAGCTCATTGCTTTGCTTCAGGTTAACGACTCCTTCACTTCCAATCCTTCCGTTGTCCATGACGAAGGGTTGCTTGCCATGAGAGAGAAAATTTTGCACATCATTTTGCAAATCGGAACAGCGCTCTAATGATAAATGAGAAAGTCTTTTCCTAAGTCAACGATCATCTTCCGCGAACACATCCTTCACGGAGGCTCAAGATGTTTTATCATATTCATTCACTTGACACTGATTAATTCAATAATTATAAGGTAAACGCACGATACCTAGAAACCAGTTCACCTCGCATATCCTCAGCTTAGTCCGTCTTGTGCTAATTTTATTAAATTGATCTACTTATTATCAACGCATGTTGTGTACGGCAGCGAAATTCTCCTAAGCCACTCTAAGTATCAATTATGAACCTAGATTCGTAAAAATCCTCTCGATTTTTTCGCGCGCACATGCAAAATCTTTGAAGAGGAGTACGAGGAAAAATTATAATAAACACACGCTGAAAAATTGTAGCCTGGAGACACAATGACCCAGAATGATAACCCTTAATTGCAAACTCGGTACAGCAACGGTGAAAATAAACTTTCCCTGACGCGTTTGACTTTAATACCTTACACCGAATGCAAGTATACCAGATTTTCGCTTCCTAACTTTTTTTTCTATAACTTCAACTTTTTTTTAGGAAACATGACGATTGAAAAGAAACTGCAGATCTTGCATTACATAAACCTACTTTGTTTCACTGGAGACGGTGAGAATTATGGGTCAAAATGAAGCATTTTCGTGACGACAGGAAATATTCCGTCAATAAAAGTCCAATACCAGTCAAAATTTAAGGAGCCTTGACTTTGAGCACACTTAAATCGGCTCCATTGAGGGTTCGTGGGTGAAAGTTAGCACGATCCAGCCAACATAACCTACTCTCTGAACACTGTAATAGAGAGAGAGGGGGCGAAAAGGAAGACGAAGAAGAAGAACAGACGGCAAGGAAGAAGAAGGAAATCAAATGTTCGAAAGAGCGAGAGCGCGTCCGGGAACTCAAATTGAAATACAGCTTACCTCGTTTGAAGCATTTACCGGAGGAATAAGCCCATTGACACCGATCATTGATAGCCATAAAATTGAACACTAAAGCGCGGAAAGTATTATCGTGATGTTTTCGCGGGCACTTGGCAAGGAACATCATGTCGAATGGGACAGGTATATGACTTACTCCAGGAGCTTTTGATTTAACAGCCGGCGTATTTTCAAAAAGAGCCGCAAAACTGCGAGTCTCCGAGCCAACCGGTTGGTAGTCCTAGACGTAAATTCTTCTAACGATAAACATATTCACCTGGGAGTTATAGTCATAACTCATAACTAAATCGGTTTATTCAAGAGTTGCTGCTGCGTGTTACCTATTATTGTTACGCTCAGTTGCTCTGGCAGTTCAGTCTGTTGGTCTGCAGACATGTTCTCGCTTGAACTATTACTTCACACGTCTGATCTTTAACTTTTTCTTGGGTCTTATTACCTGCAAAAAAAAGAGAAAAAAGACATCCATTTGCAAATTAACTTTTTATNACATACATACATACATACATACATACATACATATATACATACATATATACATACATATATATATACACATGAATTTGAATAGCATATATTTTCGTGATCTACGACCCGTGATCGGTGCTCTTCACAATGTCTCAGGTCTGGGTCCGACATCATGGGAGAATGCAATAGTGTATTTCCTTCGGAAAATACACTAAAAGACATCCATTTGCAAATTAACTTTTTATTTAGTTTTTCGTGATTCACACCGTTAAAAATTAGCACATTACCACCCTTAAGAGGCCGTGGAAAAACTTTAACGCTTCAATTTTAAATTTACTTTAAATTATTTTAGGGATGTAAGTGAGGATATTTATCTTTCAACGCGTGGCTTCACTTTCATAATCCACGGGGACGCTCACTTTTACTCGAAATTTTTCCATGTGAACTCTCTTCTTCCGCTAATTCAAAAACTTAAAATTAATCGTCACTTGAAATTAGATTTATGGAGGAACGGTTCTGAATATTACTTCGAATAGTTAGGAGTCTCGAAAATATGCATTCCCTTGTCGTCTATAATGAGCTGGTGATGGGCAAATGGCATGAAATTCGATAATTGTTTAGAGATGTATACATACTCATTTTCAAATCCACGGTTTAACACCCTCTTTCCTTTCTCAAAGCGGCGCGAACTTTCAATAATTCAAAACTCAGATAATTTAACTAAATGAAATTTTTACGAGAGTTAACCTGCATAATAATTATCGTCGAAAATTTGTCTGATCTTACGTGAGATTAGAAGAAAAATCGGTGGTATTTATAATTCAAAATTCTTGAAATCCCCCCCCCCCCCGTAAAAATGCAACCTGAGCGGGAAAATCTGGCAACATTTAAATACAGTTACGTTCTTTCGTGAGAGAAACGACAACTTTATGCCGCAATCACGAGCTGACCGTGGCTTGAATGTGGAAGTCATCGGTCCGATGCCTGAATTTTGCGCGTGACGCGCAAAATTCAGCAACGATTCTCAGCAACCATCGGACTAATGTTGAATTTGTCTAAACTATTCGCGTATATTTGATGCACATCTGGATGAAAATAACTCAAATTTGCTAAATTTTAGCCGTTGGGGCGATGACAGTTGACTTCCACATTCAGCTGCTAAATTCAGCGTGTGATTGCGGCATTAGCCATCGTTGTGGAGAGACGATTGCGCTTTGAGCAGTAGTGCGAGCAGGGATGCCGATTCGATTACCCGTTCTGCTAACCACGACTAACCACCGGATTATTTTTTTAATCACAGATTACTCATCGGTTCTAATTTTAGCCACAATTTACCCACCGGCTCCAGCTTTACCTACGTTTACCCATCAGCTTCAGCTTTACCCACCGTTTACCGCCAAATTTAAATTTTCTGAAGGATTTTAGTGAAGAAGAAAATACCCACAGATTACCCCCCGTTGCCTGGATTACCCACGAATTACCCATTACCCACCGATTACCCACCGGAGTTCAAAATACCCCCGAAATGGGCAATGGAGATGTTGCATGTGTGAGGAAATTGCGTTTTGACTGTTGTTTCTTGTGTAAAAGTTCGCGAGAAACACGATGGTGCCACTGGTTTTCTCCGAAATCAACTCCCAAGCTCAAAAAAGCTCTCAAGTTGAGGCCGAAATGGAGGGGATATCCCACGTTATCCTGAGAGTCCACCTCTACATCAAGACGAACTCTCCATGCAAAGATAGGGAGCAAATAC